AGAAAATGATATCACAGAGCTTTATTGGATCATTGAACAGAACTGTTTGCAGTATCATTGTTGGAATGTCCACTCTACAAGCTTTAATCTTGTGACTTGAACAATTATTTCTAAGATGGCAATATGTAGTCCATTAACTAATGATTTCCTACTGTTCATTTTTTTCTTCTGTAGATCTGTATAACTTGTACCCTTTCACTGTTTTTTTTCTTTTCTCCTTAAATAAAATTTAAAAAAAAAATTGAATTTTGGAAAAAAAAAAAGAGCCAGCTTTCAGTTCTAGAATTTTAAAATTAAGAGACTGTGCAGTGATTGGGCATTCTAGGCCTGATTTTTCAGTGGCTATAACACATCTGGGATTGTTTGTGCTCTGTCTGCCCTGGTCCTATGACACCCTCTGGTACTATACCCAGGTTACTATCTAATACATACATTACCTACTTGGCTTGTTTAGAACTAAATGTAGTCTAAATGAGGTTGGGTGATATGACAATGGGTTTGACAAAGGGAGCGGCCTGACCCCTGGTATAATTTGAACTCCAGAAGACTGCAAAATTAAATATGCTGTGAGTTTTCTTAGGGAACGGCAACCATTCTCACCCAGACTGGGCACCATGAATCTATTCTCCAAACTCCAAGGCTCCTTCATCTGAGCAGATACTACCATGTTAACTGCTTAGGTATTCAAGCCTGAATTGTCTAATGTGTCTGCCCTTATCTAGCAAAAAAATTCAGTGATATATTAACCACTCACAGCACAGGGCCTCCTGGCCCCTAAGACTCACCAAATGATTACTCAATATATATTTTTCTTTTGACATCATAAAATTATAATTTTCTCCACTTTTAGAGGTCATTCATTAGGTTTTTAACTGCGTGACAAGGAGGCGAGGCAAGTTTGCTCTGTGGTTAAAAATTGGGGCTCTGGGTCAGAATTTCTGGGGCTTGAAATCTTCTTGTGTTACACTAGAGAAGTAATATAACATTTCTATGACTCAGTTTCTCCCTCTATAAAAAGACAGAGGGGATTGTGGATGGTAACAGTGATCACTTCACAAGAGCATTGTGATATTAGATAAATCAAGACATGAGAAGTATTTACAAGACTGTCTGACACATGGTAAGTATGAGAAAAATGTCAGCTATTCTTACCTACTTCAAATACTACACTAATAGGTGTGTTATTAGTTCCATTTGTCAAATGAGGAAACTGGACGCATGAAATAGACTTCTTTCAAATTCTTGTTTAAATGAATCTTTCACATCAGCTTTCCGTGCTAACAAAAAACTAAAAAGGAAAAACGAAATGAATGTTCTCATGTTGTTTGCAAGTTGGGACTTGGAAGACACTGTGGCTTCTCAAGATGAGGTCAATAAATCAAAGAATCAAAGGAAGCTGCAAGGCAGTTTCAGGTTAGGGGCTTGGCCATCCATCCTGCATGGAACTCGGTGCAAAGCCTGCGGCGGGGAGGCGGACAGGCTCTCCACAGGCTCCAGAGGGGAGATGGAGCCAGGCAGCGTGACTGTGGTAGGGAGGAACTAGCATCTCCAGGCGCTGCAGGAAGTGAGAACAGCGCTCCCACTAGTTCAAAGCTTCTTGGGATCTTTGCCAGCATCACCGAGGAATGGCCATGCCCTCCATCCAAAGTGATTTGAATTTTTAAGTCAATGACCCAGAGGATGTGGGTGCCAAAAGAGAGCAAACAAGGAGTTGGAAGTCACTAGAGGGGACCCTCGTCCTGGAAAGATGAGTCCTGCCTCAAACTGTTAAGAAAATATTTGGTGACTGGGGATATGGTTCAGTGATAGATTTCTTGCCTTTCATGTATAAGGCCCTGGGCTTGATCCCCAATACAAGAGAGAGAGAGAGAGAGAGAGAGAGAGAGAGAGAGAGAGAGAGACAGAGACAGAGACAGAGACAGAGACAGACAGAGAGACAGAAGAAAAGAAAAGATTTGATGGGGACAGGAATAAACCTGGCACCCTGTTCATACATAATGCCCCAAACTAGAAACAATTCAAAGGTCCATCTTCAGAAGAACAGATATAAATGAGGTGTTTTCACGGCATGAAATGCTATCCCGCAATGAAAGTGAAGGAAACAGAACCACACTCATCAACAGGGATGAATCTTGCAAATACAGTACGATACTGAGACAAAGAAGCCCAAAAGCGAGAGGCATAAACCAACCCTGTCTTTTATTTTTATTTATTTATATATTTGTTTATTTGATACTAGGGATCAAACTCACGACCTTTCACTTGCCAGGCTGTCACTTATACCATTGAGCTAAATTCCTGGCCAACCCTGTCTTTTAGGTAACTTCTAAGCCAGGTGATGCTCATCCTAGTTAGGAGTTAGAGGTCAGGGTAGTGTCCCTTTTGAAGACGTGGCAGGAGGGACTGAGGTCTTTGGTTCTGCTCTTTGATCTGAGTGCTGATTACTCAGATATGTTCATTTGGGGAGTACCCAGATCTGTACAGGATTTTTTTTCAGCAGGGGGACATTTTTCTGAATATATATTTCAGTCTTCTTTCCTCCACAACCTGCGATCAAGTCTGCCCTGGGTGAACAGATTGCCCTATAGTCCTGGACCTTGAGGGCCGAAACACACAAGCTGGCATGCTTTAGAGGTGAGACTCCAATTTGAGTAGAGCTCATATCTTGATTGTGGGTACCAATTCTGAGTGTTGGAGGGCGTGGATATGGCTGTGCCATGGTTTTTCTCCTTGTCGCATGATGTAGTTCTCCCCACTAAAGTGCTCTCTACAAAATACTATGTAAATGGAGCTTACCGAGGGGCCAGAGACCAGGCCACATCCACATCAACACACAGTTACCCCAGGTGGCAGCAGTACAGACATTTGCTCCCTTCACTCTTAGTAGGACCCAGAGCAGCCAGAAGTGGCCAGCAGATTTGGTGGCCTTGAAGCTCCACGGGCAGATCTGAGGCAATTCAGCTGCCGATACCCAGGGGTGATCTGACAAGTATCAGAGGGTGATTTTCACGCCATTGGCAGTGCCCAGACAGTGAAAGAATGAGAAGCTTTGCCCTTGGCTGTGGTGAGCAGGGTTACACAGAAATCTGGAAGGGGCAGCTGGAAGAGACCAGCCCAGCGTGTCTGCAGTTCTGGCCCGGTAATCCTGAGGTGGGAAATCAAAGCTGTGCAGACTGATGGACATGCCTCGTCCTGGCTGACCCTGGGTGGGTCAGCTGGCTTGGATAAAACAACAGGGCCTCAACGTGACAGTCCCCACATTCTTGCAGACTTGAAAGGGAACTCCTCTGGGTTCTGACTGGACTCCTGGGGCCCAGCCTGGTCTGGCTGGGAGGCTGCACGGAGAGGCGGGGGAGGGTTGTGTGTGGTGAGTTGGCTCTTCAGGCCATCAGAGCTGCTTCTACCCTCCAAGGAGACTGTAGCCTGAGCCTCGTCATGCTTTTTTGTCTCCTCGTCCCCCCGCCACAACTTGTGCCCACCCTCTGCCCGCTGCTTCCCACTCACCTGCTCCCCCTGGCCCGCTTCCATGGTGAGCACCCGGGGCATGTCTGCCCTTGTGGTTCATCGGGCGTTTGCCCTGCTCCTCCTGCCTCTTGGGGAGCCACAGCTCCTATTCCTGCCTCACTCCCTTCTTTCATGCTCTTTCCTTCTTTCTTGGGTTTTCATTATTTTCTTTCCTAACTCTATGAAGGCAGGATACAGAGGAGGCCAGCAGGGGGCCAGAACACTGGAGCTGGGCCGAGGGCTAAGTGAGCTCTTGGGGTTTCCCCTCTGATGTGTGTGATTTTGGTCAAAGAATAGACACTTTTTCTGGTCATCAGTGTTCTCATTTGTGGATGAGGATGGGTGACCTGTGACAGGAACCCATGGGTGCACCAGTGCTGAGGTCACAGAGAATGCAAAGAATCAGGCTCCGCCCTGGCTCTTGCAAGTGACTGAACGTCCACGCCATGTCTCCTGTGATACCCAGGCACACCTGCAGGTACACAGATCACTAGGTAGAGGAGTGGCAATAGAAAGGGAGGAAATAGGAGGAAAACTTGGACTAAATATTTAATGTCACAGATCCTTGTACCTAATTAAAGTCCACATGGATGCTGAATAAGAATCATCTTTTCCCTGAACTCATTTAATTGCATCTTGCAGTCAGGTGTAACGCTCTCTCTCATTTTTTTTTTTTTTTTTTTTACAAAATGAGGAAGCAGTTTAAAGCTGGTTTTTCTTCTGCTGCCACAGAAGTCTGTGTAACTCCTGGTTCCTGTTTGTGGTGACAATGATCATAACCAGATGAATGAAGAGCACAAGATACACAAAGCAATTGGAGAATTTAAACCCACTGCATTCCTAGGTACACTGATCCCTGCACAGAGCTCAGCCCACGCTCCCCCATGCACTCCCAGCACCTCCTCCACAGCAAAGGATTTCTCATTTTCTCTGCTCCTTATATTCAGCCTCCCCATCCTTTTTCAAAACCGGTGGCTGATATATCTAAAACTTGTGCTGTTTTACAGGATGTTTTAAAAAACAAATTAGAAATCACCTTCCAGTTTCCCAGCAGTGACTGTCTCTGTGCAGCCCTATGAGTGGAAAGACAGGGCAATACGAACAATAGTTCTGAGATAGCTGTGTCTGGCAGTGCTGTGCTAAGTAGCTTCTTGCCCTTTGTCATCCATTAGCAAAGATGGAGACTGGGTTTGTACTATTGCATAGAACTCAGTGACCAGTGCAGAAATCTACTGTTGGATCCTAGGAGAATGCTAGGATCTGGAGTTAGCCAAGGGATTGCAGAAGTGCTGATTTGCAAAGGGCCTAGGAGAAGCCAGAAATCCTGGCTGAGCAGTCACAATACCTTGTCCTCCAGGCTGCAGGTTTACTTCAATTAGCACAATGGACCCAACGTTCGCCTTCTCAGAGACAACATGACATGATCTGTTCCCTTTTAGCCGTGTCAGTTCTGCAAACCAGATAGCAGAGGCTGCACACTCAGGAGAGAGAGCCTGTCTTTTTGGAACACCATTTGTTTGGACAGGATAGACCACTAAGGCATTTTCATCTCTTTAAAGCTCCCAGGACAGAGAGTAGATTTGACGAATTTCTTTTTTTTTTCCAAGAATTTTTTTTTTTTTTGCCCCTTCCAACATTTTGTTTAAGAGAAAATGAGATGTCTATCTTCTGTTTCCTTATTTTTTTTCAGGAAAGCAAAGGGTTGTTGACTTCCTCCCTCTCCCCTCCCTTCCTTCCTTCTTCCCGAAGGTACTCATCTGAGAAAAAGAGAACGAAGTATTGTTCCTGTTCTCCTTCTTAAGTCATATGAAATACTGTCCCTGCTAGTTCTTTAAGTTCCCTGCAATCTGTACACAAGAGAGAGGGAGAGAGAGACAGAGACAGAGAGAGCCAGGGACCAGGTAAAGCGGAGGGGTTGCTGCAGCCATCCAGACCCAGGAGCTGGTAAGTTACCCACGCAATCTTTTCCTCTTCATTTCCAAGCCCCTGGGATGGAGGCTACCGTGGGCGTCTTCCAAAAGATAAACCCTTACTGGTGTAGTACTTAGTCAAAAGGTATGACTGATGGATGGCTCAGAATTTAAGTTTGTATCTTAAAAAAATATAGAATACCAGTGTTTTGCAGAACTGAGGCTGGCAAAATTGCATTGGGGTTAAGAGGACATTGTGTTTAAACTGGATTTTGGCACTGGTAATGTGGCAGTGTTAACTGGGAGCCACTGGAATATAGTCTGTGTCCCACTGGACGGGTCACTCTTCCCCAGCACTGTGTCCTGGGAACCTTCTCAGGGTGTCTGTTAAGAGTTGTGGTTTGCACAGGGAGGTTTTGTTGCATTGTGTCTAAATTGAGGTGCCCTCCTCTTCTTCTTCTTCTCTCCATTCTCTAAAGAGAGCTGTTAAATTGTGACTGTTATTCTGCCTCACTGAAGTAAGAGGGAGAAAAATAATGTCACTTTGAAATAGTATTGCATGTGGGGATTTATGTAGTCAGGTGCCACAGATGGGCTGAATGCAAGTTTATTATTCCCTGCTAATGGAAAGTATCACCTGCCTCACAAAAGAGGGCAAAGATTTGGGGGCATATAGCTTTAGTTTTGGAAAACACATGCAGCTAGAAATGGGATGATTAAGATTAATTGCTTGTGTTAATAAAAATGAAAAAACTAAGGCAGAGATACAATTGAAAAATGTTCATACAGTGCCTGGTTTTCCAGGCTCCAGACTGAACAGAGCAAGCCAGTTGAGCTTATATACTACCAGTTTCTGAAAGTTCCATTAAATTCACCAAAAAGGATCATGTTACCAAGAACTCATTATGGCCTATGATGAAGGAACCAAGATTGTGTTGTCAAAAAAAATCAACAAGGTCACTCTGAAAGTCTATGCATATTTACTAATATTGATAATTTAATTCAGAGAGGTGCTGAGTGAGTGGAGGCAATGACCATACATGCGTTTTGAAATATTTGTTTCTATGAAATTTATGGTTGAGATTCCCTGGGATGTGAAGGGTATAATAAAAATAGCTAGACTATTATTTTAAAATTAATTTGACCAGATTATGCATTAACCACTATCAAGTAATTAATCTTTATGTGAGCTCAAACCATCACCTTCATGGGGATGAGAAAATATGACAGAACCAGATTGTTATGTAGGTTTTGTTCCGTTTACCAGACTCTGTCTTCATCTCCTTTTTTCAAGATTTTCCTTAGAATCACCGTTCAGCAAGCAGAATTAAAAGAGGTGTAATTAGTGTTGGCATGATTGGGGATGCGAAATGATTCCAATAGGAGTGGCAAGTGATTTGTAGCTTTCCTGTCCCTGCCCCTGCCACCCCATTCTCATAGATCTTTGGGTCAAAAGGTAGCCAGGACTGGTCATCATGTGCATTTTGCATCATTTATCAGCAACTGCGACTCCAGAGGCAAATTTAGGACTGTGTTCTTGACTTGATCCTTTCGGTTTCATTTCTCCTTGATAATGTATTTAATGCTATGCCTAATTAAAACAATGATTTCAGTTATTGAATTAAAGCATCAGATATAATATGAAACAAATGACAACAGCCATTCCGACTAAAGACAAGTAAGGCAAAAAGTGGGCAGACCATATCCAGTGTGTCTTTACTGTGGTCCAAGACTAAAGAGATGAAAGATACGCTATTTTCTTTATGAGGAAAAATTCAATATTTCCACTTACATTGTTAAGTTGTTGCCATGAGAGATTATCTGGTGGATACCAGGGGTGGGGGGAGATTCAACTACCTGAACAAAATCCCCCATCAGCTATTTTAGTATAAGTTGTTACTTTTCAATTTATCTTTACTCAAATCCAAGGAGGGACTTGGCATTTGTGGAAACTTCCAGTGTGATTCTTCTTTGGGTCATCAGAGGCTCTTTTGTGATATCATTAGGGGAATTCCAGTTTGGAATGATCCAGAATTTGACTCACATAAGATTTCACTAATTAATTTTTGTCAAAGCTATACACAAATCTAAATTACCAATTTTTCATTTGCATCTATTTTGGGTGCTGGGCCTGAACCCAGGGACACGAATATGCTAAGCACATGCTCTGCCACTTAGCTACACCCCCGGCCCCATACAGTTTAAATCATGGGAGGATGTGTGTCCTACAAAGCTGTGGGCTGGAATGGGAACTGAGTGAGTACAGCAAAGCACAAGCTCGGTCAGCGCACTTATTTAGGGCTGAATCTCAGCTTTGTCTCTTACTCTGGGAGGCCTCTAGACAGTTCTCAGCCTCTCTAAGTCTCTATATGACCCACTATTTAGTACATTCTACCAGTGTATTAGATTCATCCGAGAATCCAATAAGATTATTGACAAAAAAGCAAGTAACAGTGTTTGGGAAGGAGTGAGAGTTGATTATATCAGTTGTTATTTTTAAGGATCATACATGAACTCTTGAAAAGCACTGTATTTTTACAAATATTGTGAATAGAATAAGCCTCTTATGATTTGTATCAGTAACCTTGCCTAATGCTACATCGAGGATCTATCAGAAGCAGATTACTATTCATAATTTTAGAGCTGGGCATACATTAAGTGTTCTGTCTGAACTCCAATTTTTAAAAACATAAAATCAAAGGAGGCAGAATTTAATGTGCTAATATTCATCTGCTTCCAGCAGAAGTACCAGCTTTAGCTTTCAATGCATGTGAGCTATGCTCAGTGGAGCTCACTGATGGAGAAAATTTGCTCTAAGACCAAAGTTGTCAACTTAGACAAATGTGTGGAGAGCTCTAAACATACGGCAGACATTGTGTGCTCCCTTTCACCCACTTCTCCAGGCGGTGGCACTCAGTGCTGCTGGTGACCTTTACCATGGTCATGCAAACAATTATTTTGGATTCTCTGGTGTAATGAGTCAGCCAGAGAGAAAAGCACTGGAAGTGATACGTTGCCCCCAGTCCAGGGCTGAGTGCGCTTGGAGTTCCCTCTCTCAAACACCTCATCAGCGAATCATTCACTTCACATGACCGACAGGACACCAAACCACTACTGCGGGTGTATGGGGCAGATGATGTGTGACTGATCCAACTGTTGGATCTCTTGGTCTCAGCTTCAAAAGCTAACATGCCCACTAGCTGATCAAGTAATAATTATATTTTTATTTACATTTGAAACTTCCCTATACTTTCCAAAAGCAAAACACAGATTAGCAAAAATCTACCACTAAAACCCCAAACATTCGAAGGTCTTTTGTTAGGCTGAGAGGCTCTGGTACAACAGAAATTTGCCGGGATACTTACCACAGGACAGCACATTGTTGCTGAGCTGCCTGGCAGTAACGTACTAAAGGCATCTCCTACTGGGGCTTGCTGCCGAGGAAAAAGAGTAGATTAGGACTTAGATATGACCTCCGAACCCCTCGCATGGTGACTTACTACATTTCTTAACTTCACCAACCTCAGTTTGTGAAATGATGAAGCTGGTCTAAATCAGTGATTTTTAAAGTGTGAATGTGTTTCCAAATTCACCTGGGGGCTCGCTTACACTTTCCTCCTGCCCTGCGCACAGCCCTGGGTGACTGATCTATGAGGTCCTTCTGCTGATGTCCTGGGATTATTGCACGTGGATGGGGGTGTCTTGTTCTGTGTTCTTCAGGACGGCTCGGATGTTAGCCATAAATGCATGTTCTATGACCCATGTTTTTAAATGGAATTTATATTCAACATTGGGTGTTCCCTTTAGAAGTTAGTTTTGAATATATCAGGTGTTATTCTAGAATGTGATGTTACTATGAATAAGAAATGTCCTAGCCAGTCAATCAGACTGATGCAATGTTCTATAGCTATGTAGTAATTTTCTGTATCTGTGGATTCTTCACTGGGGGTTCAGTCAAGCACAGATTAAAAATATTTGACAAAAAAAGCCTGTGTCCTAAATAAATGCATATTTTTTGCCATTATTTCCTAAACAATATAGTATAAGGATCATTTATGTGGCATTTATATTGTATTAGGTGTTAAATGTAGTCTAGAGATGATGTGCCGTATACAAGAGAATGCATATGGGTTGTGTAAATGCTATACAGTTTTGTATAAAAGGAACTTGAACATACATGGAGTTTGGTATCTTCAGGGGTCTTGCAGCCAGTCTCAAGGATGCATAAGAGATGACTATATAAACCACTAATAGATTGGTTACCTAGACCAATAAATATTATAATTCTGTATACATAATAATTTTAGGTTATGCTTCTATATTATTTTCATCTTATAGTGAACATGTATTTTTCTTTAATCAAGATGAGATATTAAACTTTTACTATTCTCTTTTTTAAAATATAAGAAGATCCAGTCTCATAAGGTTTTATTAAAATCATTTTATTATCTGTTTGGTGCTGAGCCTGCCTTAGAAGTTAGATCCTTGTCCTTAATGTAACAGTGTCATCATAGGGATGCAAAATGATCACACTGGTGCTTGAATGATCAGCACGCACAAGTCATATTAAACCTGCTATAACTGAAAGAAAAATACATAGCTTAGAGAAAGAGCAGTTCAGAATTTTTTTTACCTAAATTAGTACATTTTTTTTCTTATATGTTTATATGGTTTAATAAAACAAAGCAGCAATAGATAACAAGTCTTCATCTAACAGGAACACAGAGACCACAAACATTTTAATTCAGGCTGTCAGAATGAGGGTTATTCTCTGTGACTATTCAAATGCCAATTGGTATAAAACAATGGCATTTAGGTAAAGGGAGAAGAACATACCCTCATTAGGTGCATGTGTCTCCTATAAGTTCACCAAAAATAACTATCATGAGGACAGGGACCTTGTTCTGTCCACTGCCATTATATAGAACCAAGACTACCACAGCACAGAACAGAGAGGCACAACAAATATTTGTGCCTAGATCAACCAGTGAATAAGTGGGCAGTTGAGGGAAATGTGCTATCTTTATATAATGC